CCCGTGCAGGGCTGCCTCCCCGCAGGGCGCTCGCTGCGGGCACAAGCGCCCGGCAGCCGTGTCAGCACGCTGCCGTCGGCCTGCGCTTGCTGACACGTGACTTGTCGATAGCGAAATCCATGGCCACAAGACGCAGAGCACTCGGACCACGGGCTCGTTACCCACCTGCGGGATTCAGAGACAAATCTATAGCAACCCGGAAAGCACTGCAAACTTGCTGGTTGTTCGCAGTGACCCATTTGCAAATCCAAATAACAAGACACTGCCATTGCAAGTTTTAGATGTGAGAAAACTCAGAATCAGCTTTTCCAGTTGTTAGGCAAGATCTTATAAATGCGGTTAACCGATGACTTGTAAGATAACTGTGGCTCAGTACACACTAACAGATGCTATGCTGCGTGTTGCCCAGGCCATACCAAGTAAACCTGACAGACCCTGCTGGATTTAGCATTTCCCAAGGAAGGACAGCATACTTGTCCATCATTTATAAAACAAACGGTTCTGATTTAGTTACTAATGAGGTAACAGGTGCCATCCAAATTTATTGCATCAAGACCTTAATATATCATGGCTCAAACATAACATATTACTTATTGATTAGCAGTTCCAAAGATTTAGCCTGTCTTGGCAGCTCGGAATGATACTGGGGAAGCTGCAGGTGGCAATATAATTTATTTGACTCGATCTTTTCATAAATTATAGAATCATAGAATGGTTTGGGTTAGAAGGGACCTTAAAGACCATCTAGTTCCAACCCCCTGCCATGGGCAGGGACACCTTCCACTAGACCAGGTTGCTCCAAGCCTCATCCAGCCTGGCCTTGGACACTCCCAGGGATGGGGCATCCACAGCTTCTCTGAGCAACCCAGTGCTTCACCACCCTCCCTGTGCAGAACTTCTTCCTGATATCCAATCTAAACCTACCCACTTTCAATTTAAACCCGTTACCCCTTGTCCTGTCACTACAGGCCCTTGTAAAAAGTCGCCCCCAGCTTCCTTGTAGCCCCTTCAGGCACTGGAAGGGGCAATAAGGTCTTCCCGGAGCCTTCTCTTCTCCAGGCTGAACAAGCCCAAATCTCTCAGCCTGTCCCTATAGCTGAGGGTCTCCAGCCCTCAGAGCATCTCCGTGGCCTCCTCTGGACTCACTCCAACCAGTCTATATCCTTCTGATGTTGAGGGCTCCACAGCTGGATGCAGCACTCCAGGTGGGGTCTCACCAGAGCAGAGTACAGGGGAGAATACCCTCCCTCGATCTGCTGGCCACACTTCTGATACAGAATGGGGCTTTATGTGTAGCACAACTGTGATAACAGGAAAAATGTTCCATTCTCCTTAGCAATTACTTCATTTTCTTACAGTCAAACCTTTTATATCCATTCAAGGAAGATTATTCTTTTACAGTCTGGACCCACATCTTTTTCTCCCTTTTCAAGCTCAAGTACCTTTGCAAACATTTGGTGCAGTGCATGCACAGCAAATCTGCACGGCTCACATTTGGCAAACACTTAACGCACAAGCTAAGTACGTGCTTAAACCCTTATATTTGCTTAACTGTACCTCTGTGCTGCGTGGGAGGGAAGTGATTAAACACATGCAAATCACTTGGAATAATAAGGACACATCACACTGACCGTATGTCTAAGGCCTTTCTAATTCTAGGGATACTTTCTGAAGAATTGCCTTGGGATGAGAAAATCCTGTAGAAATCAGGTAAGTGGGGAAATGGAAAGGGAAGTCTGAATGTTTTGCAATTCCTTCCCAGGTCACTAATCACAGGGCAGGGGGAGAGGTTAGAGGCACTAGGAACCAGACACAGGGCTATTTTCCAGGCATCTGGGATGCTCTTCCTATACAGGAGGTGTGGAAGGCTTCATAAAAGAAAAGCAATTTGTATGTCAGCATACACGTATAATTCAAGGCAGAGTTAATTATGTCAGTATACACACAAATCCCTTCCACTGGTAAGTATGTAAAGCCAAATTAAAAGCAAAAGAAATCTAAGCATTTTAATAAGAGAGAATTTAGGTGCCAGCCTGCCCAGCCATATGAGAAAACTGGGGTTTGTGGTGAATCCTCTGGGTCCGGTGATAATCAGGTTGGTAAGTTGTGCACTGCAGGCCAACGAAAAGGCACTGGACCCTCTAGTACCCTTCTAACTGTCATCTGCCCTAAACGGCTGGATTTTAAGAGGGAAACCTCCAACGAGTCCGCCCAATTCAAACTATTAGTTCTATTTCAGTATTTTTCCACTGGCAAAAAGTTTGATTGTTAGGGTCAACTGCTAGAGTTCAGGCTCACAATTTAGGATGATCTGTTTTCTTGGCTGCTAATAATGAAAGATAAATACATTTCTCCCGATATTTATCTGTTGCTATGTTTTCTGCATTTACAACAGAGTTTAGAACACGCTGGCAAGATGCACTCCCACAGTCAGTTAAGGTCTTAACACTTCTCTCTGAACACTTTTCCAGTGAGGGACAACTCCAAAATGTGTGCATGACTTCTCATCCCTCACTGATTTTTACGTTGCTGATGGTGATGGCCAATTCCTTTAAGCAACAAAAACTCTTGTTTTGAGGACTCCAGAGGGATTCCCTGCTAAAAACCTAGAGCAATGCCTTGTTGAGCCGGAATGCTCGGTGCAGATCAAGACGACTAGAGGTAAGGTTTTGGCTTTTGGAATCAGATGTTGTGGTCTATTTGCCTGTCATACAAAGATTTTCTGCCCCAAGATCACAAGGTACCCCAGCTGATCCAGCAAGAAAGTTGGCTGGGAAGGACATGCAAGGACACTACAGACACACAGAATCACAGACTGGTTTGGGTCGGAAGGACCCTTAAAGTCCATCCAGTTCCACCCCCCTGCCATGGGCAGGGACACCTTCCACTAGACCAGGTTGCTCCAAGCCTCATCCAGCCTGGCCTTGGACACTTCCAGGGATGGGGCATCCACAGCTTCTCTGAGCAACCTGTCCCAGTGCCTCCCCACCCTCTCGGTGAAGAAGGCATTCCACATGTAAATGCCACATGAGGCATTCCACCGTAAATATCCTACTCGGCTCTGCTGGCATGTTAGGAGAGGAGGTGAACACAGAGTATCCTGGCTGCTCTAAACACGACAAGATTTCTCCCTGCGCGCTGACACAGATTCCACAAAACCAGCACATCTCAATGTCTCAAGAGAGGCCTCCCGCTTAGCTTCGAAGGCGTTGGCGTGGTAGCAGCCAGAGTTGCTGCAGCAGCATGGAGACTTGCACAGACCTCATCCATTCAGCTGAATCAAGCATTCCCCCACGCGGCTGAGATCCATTTTCACATCTCGTGCTTTGGAGTTCATGAAATAAACCCCACGTTTCAGACTCAGAGTATAAACACAGAAACAGCGTCGGGAGGCTGAGAGTGCACATACAGCATGCGGACATCGAGCAGAAAGGGGTTTACCTAGCAGGGCAGTCATCTGTGTTGCACAACTGGTGAATAATCGCGGGCTTTGGCAGCTCTCGGCACAACGACTCATTTACTCTCTGTCTCTCTGCGTTCACGCACCGCAGTCTTCTGGAGCGGGTTCCTGAATTCCCACAGGTGGCAGAGCAAGTGCTCCACTCATCATATTCCCATTTATAATCTAGGAAAGGCAATTGAAGACAGTGTGAGAGAAGCACTAGACATCATTGCACTTTTTAATTGATTTGGCAGCATGTTCTATAAGCGAGATAGATACCGCATCCTCTGCTGAACAGCAAATATTTCAGCGTTGTGAAAAGGGAGCATAAGCCAAAGTAGAATTTAGTCCTCCCCAGCTTCCCCTCAAGCTCAGCCCTCACATACACACACGAAGTTCTCTAGAAGGCAAATGGGATCAGCATATGTGCACGTGAAGGGCAGAACCTGGCTCACAGTAGGAACTGACGAACTTATTTTAAAACTTTCATAATATTTTTACACAATGAGCATTAAAAAGAGGAAGCCACAAAGCCGGGTCTCCAGGTTTCCTGCTGTCCTACAGTAAGTTTATTCTGAAGAAAACTCATCTTAACTCCAGACACTTCACATAATTTCAGGATTTAAGAGAATCCTGTATTAAACTACAAAAAAGTACGTAATGCATAAATAATTCACCACTGAGGCATCTGGCAAGATGAAAAAGGGATTTCTTTTGAAGAGCGTTTTCTATTAAAAAGCGATCACCTCTAACAATTACTACCTTTATATGTAGTCACAATTCCACACGTACCCCTTCCCCCACAGGGTTTTTTTTGACACTCGGTAAAAGATGAAGTACTGTGCAATGTTGACAGATTTTCATGTGATCGCAGAAGGAGTCAGATTTTTCTGTAATACCCAGGAATAATTGATAGCTACCAGCTGTGTCCACAGGCTCGCTCTCACAGCACATAATGAATTCTTTACCTTATTGTTTTTCAATGTTTCCTTATTACTTCTGAGTTTCTTAAAATAATACAAAAGGGCCTTTTTCAAAGTAGAAATAGCTAAATTTACTGACTGCAGCTATGATGGAGAGACTGCATTGTTTGTTTAACTAGGATGATGGCACTCAGAAGTGCCCTCAACACGCCTACTGTGCCCACACCACCAAAGGAGATCTTGCAGCTCTACAGACACATGGGTAATTCAGTGATGAAACCGTCACCGAAGCAACGGCGTTAAAACTCATGACTAGAAAGTGGAATCTCCCCAAAATACTGTCCAGCCTGACTGGAAAGGGCATTGGGTGACCAAAAGGCAGTCCAGCTAAAGACTGCAGGTGGGTAGTTCCATACCTGGCTCTAACTTTAATGAGAGCTGTATTAGGACCAAGACCTGGAGACACTGTTTGACAAAATCTATTAGGGTACCTTAGGATTCAGTTCATAATTAGCTTTATTTACTTCAGATTTTAAAAACAAACATTTTGATCATAGGTGTGTTTCAGTAAAATTACTCTGTAAATGCACCTGACTGCACAACCCTGTGCATACCAGAACCAATATCTGCTGGTGGTCACTGAGAACGCACTGATAGGCAGCAGGGATCTGACCTTACTGCTTGAGGCCTCTGCGCACAGACAGTAAGTCATGTCATATTGATTGGTTAATTGGTAAATCACATACAAAAACTTTCCATTTCAACAGATACCCGTGTTTAAATCTGATTTGCATTCCCGGGGTACTGACTGGTTAGACTTCTTGTGTTTTCTTAACTGTCAAATCAAGTTTGGTGCTTTGCTGCCAGACTCTTAGTAGGATCTAAGTTCCTAACTCTCTTTTTTAAAGCCCAATTATAATGTAATTCATTTCTAAAGCACTTCAAACATTCAAAACTTTACGAAATGACTGTGGATACAGCCTGCTGTCCTGCTGGTGTGTATGTAAGATCCTTGTCCAATTCATCCATAACCCTCAGCTGTGTATTTTATAACCTACTAATAGAAATGTAGTTTTCTGCAAGCGCGTGACATTGGAGAACACTGCAAACGATGAGTGTGCAGTGCACCCTAGTGCACTGACATGCTTACGGGTGACTACAGTAAGATGGCTACCTTATCGCTTCGATAATGCTGGAATATGACAATCATCTTAAAATTATTTGGATTATAATTAAGATGTTTCCAAAGATAATCTCAATGTCAGTTTTGTTTCAGCTCAGTGGACTATCATGGCAATAATTTCTATGATTTGTGGAAGGAGAAGCTGAGAAAACTTCCTGATTTAAAACAGCTTAAGCAGCAGGACCCTGAGTCAGGCAACATGCTCTCAGCACCTCAGATACTCAGAAATGAGAACCCCTACCTGGTATCTGGATACCGGCTAATACCCATATCCAACTCTGAGTAAGGACACTGTCTATGGTAAATGGGCCTATTCCCACATGTGAAGTTAAACACGCATTTATGAATTACTCCCTGTGTGTAAAAGCAGGTGAGGATTCAGGAAAGTCTGCACAGAGTGTAAGAAAACATTTGAAAATTTAAGAATTTGTCATATAATTTTCAACAAACCTTCCTTCTTGACATTTACCCAAACTGACATTGGTTTTGTTCTAGCTGAAGTCCAACATTGGAATTGTCCAGCGAATTGACCAGAGTTGGTGTTCACCTCTAGGATACGACCCCCAACTAGGGTTCGGTATTCCAAGCTCTTCACTTCCTCAAGTGGACTATCTCCGAAAAGCCAGTGAACTGTGTTTCTGTAGCTGGGCAGCACCGGGCAACCTAAAAATCAAAAGCATTTTAGCAGGTTTTTCTAAACGCATCAAAACATTTGTGCGTAAGTACAAATGATGTTGTGATTCTAGGAAAAAGACCCTACTGGTCTAAATAAAAACAAGAGTATGCAAAATTCACTGCAGTCCAGCCGATGGCCCAAAATCCTGGCCATAACCCCTAACGAAATGAGTAGATAATATAAATTAAATGACAAAGCAGAAAAGACAACTTACCTATTCTTAGTGGGTCTCCGGGTACCACACTGACATTTGTACCAATTCCAGTTGCCATTAGGACACGCTTTCTTCTGCTCCCCTTTGATAACAGAGTCTTATTCTCTGCATATCTTTGGTCTGCAACACAATGCGTAAGATCCCTCCTTAGCAAGAATTACATCAAGATGCTAAAAAAATATTTGTATCAAAATATCCAGCCTGCTAGTTATGAAGCAGAAGGAAAAGAGCGCTTTGGAATTCTTTAGGATCAACTTTGTTTATGCAGTTAAACTGTCTAACAAATATACTTCAGGGATGTAAACAAACAAATGCAGAAATTATTTAAAATGTCTAAGCAAGTTTCCAAATTAATCATATTTATTGCATTTTATTTATATATAGAAAAATAAGCCTGTAACAGCGTAAAACCAAGATTTACAGGATGTATGATGTATTTCCTGTTTCTCATGACAATGTTATTTATTATTTCATTACCAGTCATTCACCTACAGAAATTTTAAGAACAGTAATTCTCTCAATGGAATCAGGCCAATTCCTCTAGTCCATTAGATGGAATTACAACAAAGTGCTACAACAGAATAAAAGCAGAAAATCTCTTAAAATCTCATTATGCATAAAGACAGCATAATGCATGCAGAATCACGTGCCTATCGCTATAGCAACTCCTCCTCTTTATCATATGCCAGACAGTATAACTGCCAAAATGTGGGCAGTCTGTCAGCAACAGTTCTTGCCACTCAGTCAACGTTGCTGTTTTGAGCAATGTGCGCAATATCTATGATACTCCTTCCAGAACGGCTTAAATCTTCTGTCGTATTCTAACTTCTGTGGGTCATTTTACATCCGTTCAAGGTTTTCCCTCAGTGTGCAATGTCTGTACAAAGCCTCCTGCTTGTCTTTGTCACCCCTGGGACAAAACCATCCGTAGAGGTACGGTGAGGCCAGTCCCGTACAGGCAAAAGGCTCGTTGCCTTCTCAGTCCTCCGGAAGGTTTATTAGAAAGCCTGAACGGATGTTGCTCTGCTGCTTGACTGCCCCAGGTCAGGCAGTAATCACTGGAGCGAAGGCCAAAAGACTGACACGATGTGGCTACAGACAACACTGAGTCAGTGCAAACTGCAAGTCCTGATACCATAAATCCTCCCATTTCAATGCAGTTTTGCACAGCCAAAAAAATCTGCAGAATTTGGCCCTCTCCTATCCACTCAAGATTTATTTAAGCTAATGTCATGTGACCGGGAGCAGAAACAAGGTTCAGACTCTTGTGAGCAATCTTCCCCGTCACATCGTTATAATGACATTCCTCTTCGAAGTTTTGATGTACTCCAGGAAAACTGAACCCAAGAAGGGACCTTCAGTCTACCCCCATCCTCACACAGAGCCTCCCCTTATGCCTTCGGCAGGTCTTCCATGGCCAACGGATCCAAACACCTATAACCTGCCCCGCACGTGTGCCTACGACAGCAGGCTTTGCAGCAGGGCTGGCCACGGACAGCTGCATTGTACTTGGTTCGGCAGAATGGTGAGAACGTTCATCTCCAGCGCTGAATGATCCATTTACAGGCACGGCTGTATTATACAGTATTACGTTATTAATCTACTTACAACAGAGCCATTTAAATGGACTTCTTCCTTACATTTTCTATTCTGAGAGTTAGCAGTTCATATTCCAAATTTTGTGTTTTCCACGTCCCTACACTTTATTGGCCTTATAATTAAAAAATACCAACCCCCAAACCAGCCTTCGCTTTCATTTCACTGCATTTCTCTGCAGATTTTCTGCATACCTCAAGCCTGCCCCGTTTCCCTAGACAAAAGCACTGGGAACAATGTGATACGACAGTAGATTTAGTTCTCTCATGTGTCTGCTGGTTTAAGGGCTGGGATTTGTTGCCTAGAAGCAAGAAGATGGAACAACTTTTGAAGAAGTCACAAGTCAAACCATCTGTCTCTAGATCCACTGTTACAGGAAACACAAAATAGAGAACAGATCCTAGGGAGTTGGATGCAGTCAAAAATTCCAAGTTCATAGTAAAATGTTAAATATCCCTCCCAACTATTTTATTGGCTGAACTTCATAATCGAAGTGGTTTACTGTTGTTATCAGTATGGAAATCTCATTTAGCACTTACCAGTTAAGTGGAGAACAGATGCAGCTTCAGATTTTCCGAGAGCGTTAGTTGCTCTGCAGGTGTATGTTCCTGCATCTTCATAGGAAACATTCCTCAGGAATAAAGAGCCATTCAAAACCAAGAAAGAATTGATTTGTAGACTGTCCTTCTTAAACCATGTTACATTTGGTTGGGGAACACCTTTAAAATGCAAAGAATTAAAATATTTCTTGAGAGAGATAACCTGGAGGTTTTCTATTGCTGACATAACATTCAGGAATCCTAAGTTCCTTTGCCATTTCCCAGAGGAACAACATCACATCAAAAGGAGTATTTGTTCCACTCACAACAACACTTCTCAGTTGTGACCCCTATGAATAATTCAGCCTCCCACGGAGAATAAGGGTTAAGCACGGGACGGCAAGGTCACAGAAGAGCTTTAAAAGCCCCTACCAGTCCTACAAATGCAACCCACGCCTGGGTCTTGCTACGGAGAGATGGGAGACCATTAACCCCAATCAGGACCAATTAGCGTGAAGATCCGCACAGCAGCTTTTCATTCAACCTGCATCCCAGAATATATGAAGGAATGAATATTCAATCTCTAATTACAAATAAGGAAAAAAAAAAGAGGAAACTAGAAACTGAGGCAAAATAGTTCTCTTGAAGAAAACTAAGGATATATTTAGCAATTAGATTAGAAAACTTGGCCAATTTCTGCCAAGAAAACTCCTGGAAACTTCTCCAAGTAGCAGATGTCAGGTACACAACCTGTAACAATGCGGTGTGAAGGAAAAGGAACAGAAAGAGCTATTAACAACTTAACGAGGGGCTCGGTCATTAAGCAACCTCATTTGCCATGTCACAGAAAGCCAAAGGTCTATCATCATTCCTACTGTAACACTTGAAGAGACTCAACAGTTGCAGATAACTTGTCCTTCTAAATTTTAATCAACTAACGACTTTGGACATTTATTTTTAACTGGGAGGTTTCTCCACTGGCACAGTACCACCTCTGTGGGAGGAATTCTACTTTCCTCAAACACTGGCCTTTAAAAAGGCATCTTGCACGCTGGCAAATCGGACCCTTCCCTGCTTGTGCTCCTTGAGCTGCTGCAGCAGAAGGGCTCCTTCAGAGCTCCAAAACCCTACAGGAGTCACCGGGGAAGACCGGCCTCCGTGGCACGGCGACGAGCAGCAGAGGAGCACAAAGGCGCAGGGCGCAAGACGAGTCGGAGCAGTTAAACCCTATTCCACCTGAACCCTCTTTTCCCTAAATACATTGATTGGTGCTCATGGAAGACTACCAGGAGGGGTCCTGCTGGAGCGGCTGACCCCAGTGTGGGACATTTGGAAGTTCCAACCATCTTGAATGCGAATTCAGCCTCCTCTCTTCACAGATCATTGTGCGGTGTTACTTTACAGATGATGTCTTCATGATGTGGAATAGCCTTTAGGAACAACTCGAACATTTCAATCACTGGCTTAGCACTTGCAATGCACACCTCAAGTTTTTCCTTTACTGTAATAGGAACCAGACACACTTTTTGGAACCTGCTGTTTCACTGAAGGGAAAAGCTCCCCCCGACCATTTTGTCTAGGACGACAGCAGAGAGAAACGCTCCTCAGCCTAATCACAGATTTTATTCTAGACAATTTAGCAACTGTTCAGTGCTTTTAAATTCACGTGACTGTGTTTTGTTTATAAAACAAAGTACGGATCTGTAGAGCGCACAAGGGTCCAAAAAACCAGGATGTTTTTCAAGTTTCCAGAAGAAGCTTTATGCCACTTTGAAAAACCCTTGTGGAATTAGGATGAGGTCTTGTTTTAAGGGTCTTTTTTCCATTTTACCCAAGCGTTCTGGCTGAAGTGTACCATTCTCAGACATACTTTTCCTTTACAGTGTATTTTCCATGGCCATGCAGGCGTACACACTACCATACAGATGGGCTGAGGAGGTGGCGTGAGGATGCTGGGCTGTTTTAATCTACGGCCTAGAGGTTTGCAGCCAGACTACCCTCGCTGGCATCAAAACCCTGCAGACCAATCAGAGCCCAAAATAAGCCAGAAGCAGCACGGTGGAGATGGGGCTGCAGTTGAAAGATTTAAAGTCAAATTACAGAAAAACGTTTAGAAAGGTTCAAAGTTTAGCTTTTAACCTGAGTTTCTATCAAACTTCAGCCTAAGATCTCTCCATGATACAGTCCTCCCTCTGCTCTCACCACAGCATTCAGAAATGTGCATCATTCCTGGGATTTAAGTAAAATATTTCTTTCATCCAACTTGGTTCCTATCCTAGAGTTTATCCCCGGAAAAATTGCCATGTCTCTACTTTTCTCCCCGTGCCTCATTCGGAGACATGTAGAGCCTTTTAAAACCCGGGCTGGAGTTCAGTTTGCAGAAGAAATCTGCAGAATAGCTTTGCCTCTCATTTTAAGTTCAAAATTGGGCATCTGTCACACACCTTAAACTCCATTTTAAGTTATAGCGAACGATTCCTCTTTCTTTCTCCAAAGAGCTGTATAGGTTTCCCTTTAGGGGAACCAAGCAAGGCACACCACACGCACACAAGTACATCAGACCATTCCTCAAATGAATAATGTGAATACACAAACGTAAATCCTGGGTCTAAGGAGCAGAAGTGTGGACAGAGCCCTGCATGGCATTCCAGCAACCAGCCCAACTGAAACGCACGACGAATCCATCCAAGCAATCTTAGGGGTGCTGTCACTGATAAAGTGGGGGAGAAAAAAAAATCCATGAAAAACGATCCATAATGGAAAAAACAACACTATTACGCATCATACGTGGTTATTGTATGCTGACATTTTAAAAGAGAGTTCTCTAGATACCCTCAGGGTGCATCCATAAACGTGAGCTGTTTAAGCTGAAAATCATAGTGGGCATAAGCACAACACTCCTGCATTGTATTTTACCCCAAACTACTGAGAAGCAAGATTTTTACTTAAGAGCCAATAATTTTTATGTGACCTGTGTGCTGAGTCCCTCTGAGCTGGCCCCTCCACAATCACTTTAAGGACCCTTCAAGTTTTTTGCATTTCCTCTTTCCTTTTCATTCCCCAACCTTTGTATTATGTGGATACCAATCCATTATCTGAGAGTGAGCCTGGGAGTATCTGTTTAAGAACTGGTATTTGCAATCAAGCTCCTTCTGTGTCCTTTTTCACTGGCTTTCGGTTAGGTTGCCATTAAGAGTATTCAGGCAAACCCTCAGTTGGAGACCCAAGCTAAAGAAGATCCCTTTTAGAGAAGATTTCAGGGACCTACTGCAGGCTGCGGCGCAGCAGGAAGGGAGGAGAGGGGCAGGACCCTGCACACTGCAGCCAGGACACCGCTGGATGCTAGAAACCAGGTGCCTCTCGCCCTGCCTGTCAGGGGAATCCAAACCAGCGAGCACAAAGGTGACAGAAAGCTTTTGGAGCTGTGCATCCAGAGAGATGTAGGGGGGAATCTGGCCAGAAAGAAGTTTTATCGTGTGGTGCTCCCCCAGCTGCTGATAGACACCCTGTAAATGGATTACAGAAATAAAGTGGTAGAAAAAGACATCCCTTACAGTCCAGCTCCTTTGCATTCTTCCCCAAAGCAGCATGCACGTTTCAGGCTCTTCTGGACAGCTTCAGTTCCTCTGTATGTTTGTACTGCCAGTGAAAAACCCGCTTCTGCCCTAACTCTCATGAAAGATGCCGAATTCTTGGGCACCCTGTCCTTTCTGGAATTCCTATCCTAGAATCATAGAACGGTTTGGGTGGGAAGGGACCTTAAAGACCATCTAGTTCCAACCCCCCTGCCATGGGC